AGGACTGGATTTGCTGCCATTTTCTCTTCTGTTCCAAGAATCCTGGGGACTCCCTCTCAAAAAGTATCCACCGACACACTCCTTAAGTGACAGATTGTGGGGAGGCTTCAGGTTATTTGCATGCTGCACCTTTGTTGTTGCTGCTGTGGTTTAAAAAAATGTTAATGTGTGTTTACAATACGCCAGTAATCTGAAGCTGTCCTTCCTTCTCTTCTGTCTTTTTTCCTGACCAAGCATCCATAGTGACTGTCATTCAGCTTGTCAACAATGTAGTTGACACTATAGAGAATGAAGGTATTTACTTTTTTTCTTTCATAGCATTTCTTTGTGTAAAGAGTTATCCTTTTAGAAATTTGGCTTCCTTGTTATTGTGGACTAGGGGTGATTTTAATCTGTTAGCCACAGAGGGGCAATAAACAGCTGGTTTCAAGTAAGTTGTAGAGTGTTTTCTCTAGGAATTAGTTTTATGATTTTGAAAAAAATTCTAGCTCATAATTTTTTTTAATACATGGGATACTCTTTTTATAAAATCTCTTCCAAGAGACGAGTACTCAATTAGTTGGAATCCAGATTAATACTAAATTCATTCTTACAATCAACATGGATTTACTGACCACCTACTGTGAGTGCTGAGAACACTTAAGAAATCATTCAAGGCTGTAATATGATGTATATTTATTTCAACCAGGTAGCTTTTATTAGGGCCTTAATAAAATTAGGGGCTGGCATAGATAAGATTTATTTTTATATTTTCTTAATAACAATAGGGAGTTATGAAAAAGGCTAAACTTAGTCATAGCCCAGAGGCCTTTAGAGCATGTCTCTTTCTTAATGTTGTCTAAAAATGTTCTTATCTGTCTTTATATGGCTTGGATTGTCAGTTTTACTTTTCACTTTGTATTTAAACAGTGTCTGTCATGGACCAAGGACAGAACTACAACCGAGGTGACTGTGCCACAACCATAGCATAACTTTTTATTTATGGATTTTGAACTGCTGAGTTCATTCTGACCCTCTCCCTGTCCCTCTGTCCTGACCTGAATCTTGCATGTTCCAGGTGTCTTGTGTGCTCAGTATTGGAAGGAAAGCTCCACCAGCGTTCCTCTCCCACCCTCTTCCTCTATGCTTGTAATTCACCCATTTGCCTGCAACCTCCAGCCCCGTCCCCCCAGCCGGCCACAGTACAGCCGAGGTACCTCTCCACAAGGCATGCATGCTGCTAGCCTGGCTCTGCAAATGGCGCGCGAAAAGGAAGAGGCAGCTGGGGTGGGCTCGGGGCTCCCACAACTGTCTCTCGGCCTGCCCTTGCTGGCCATCTCACAGCATGGCTGAATCAAGCTCTTCAAGCAACCCGGCACCATCCATCACAGTTGCCATCACCTTGTTGCTCCCAGGCCAGAGAGCATGGCAGGCCCCATAACGATATTAATAGCATGCAGAGGAGAATGCATGTCCGGTCCCTTCTCTGCCCCATTCCCGGCCCTGCCCCAGCTGCAGTCTGGAGGAAATTAACTGTCACGGCTTTTTTCTCGCAGCCTATCACTGGGACACCTCGGACTGGATGCCGGGGGCCCGCCTGTCGGACATAGAGGAGGTGCCCAACTACGAGAGCCAGGAGGGCGGGTCCGCACACCAGGGCAGCGCGCGGGAGCTGGAGAGCGACTACTACCTGGGCGGCTATGACATCGACAGCGAATACCCGCCGCCTCACGAGGAGGAGTTCCTGAGTCAGGACCAGCTGCCTCCGCCTCTGCCCGAGGACTTCCCGGAGCAGTACGAGGCCCTGCCACCCTCCCGGCCGGGGTCGCTGGCCGGCACGCTGAGCCCGGACTGCAGGAGGCGGCCCCAGTTCCACCCCAGCCAGTACCTCCCCCCTCACCCCTTCCCCAACGAGACGGATTTGGTGGGCCCGCCTGCCGCCTGTGAATTTAGTACTTTTGCCGTGAGCATGAACCAGGGCACAGAGGCCACGGGCCCGGCCGACAGCGTGTCTCTGTCCTTGCACAATTCCAGAGGCACCTTGTCCTCGGATGTCTCAGCCAATTGCGGCTTTGACGATTCCGAAGTAGCCATGAGTGACTACGAGAGCGCGGGCGAGCTCAGCCTGGCCGGCCTCCACGTGCCCTACATGGAGACTCAGCACCAGACCCAGGTGTAGCGACGGCGGCGTCGCCCGGACTTGGCCCAGTTTGTACGGCAAGGCGGAAGGAGATTGGCTGGGTTTAGGTGTGGGAAAGGAAAGTAGTTGGTGAAACTAGCAGGAATATGGTCCTTCCCCTGGGAACTTCTGCACAGCCACACTGTCACACGCGAGCTCGATTCCAACCGGGTGAAGATGAGCGCTGAGAAACTGTTTCTGAGAGATGACTGGTAATCCCCGAAGTAGGTACCTGCGTTCCTGGCTAAAATGCAAACAGGGAAAATGATTTCGCCCACTGAGGTATGCAGGGAGCTTCTATGGCTCTGTGCGGTATGTGCCCTGCAAAGTGTTATAGCATCAGTCCTCGCAGTATTAAAAACTGGCAACAATCAGAGAAGCATTGTTGCATGTAATTTTGAGCCAATGAATTGAAAATAGTAAATGAAAATAGTAGTAATGATTGTTGGAAAAGTTAGTCTCTTAGGCGAAGGAAAAAAGAAGAAGCAACTATTAAAACAAAATGGGCTAAAGCCTTTAAAATCAACTCTTTTTTTAACAAGCTGCCCAATTTTCAGCTATAAAATTAGGTTTGAGTAACATGTTTAGTATGCTCAGTTATTTTTGTTCATTTGTTTGTGTTAAGCATTCAATATAATACAATTGGGTTTTATGATCTTTGAGAAAGGTACCAAGAAGCTACTTGGGTTCCATTTTGTGGGTTAGGGAGGAGGTTAATGTTGTTTGAACATTAGAAAGAATGTGATAATCCGGTTTTGTGTTTTGTGGTAAATATTCCTACCTGAAACCACAATTCGAGCCTTGCTGTAGAAATTGGCCTTTGCTCATATATTGTGTTCTCTACGATGAGATATTCAGAAGTTTAAGCAGAATCCACAAATTCAGGGGGCAGGGGGAAAGATACTTTGAAAGTTTTCAGCCTGGATAATCACAGTTCTTGATAATGCAGATAAAAGGTATGTGTTATTCTAAATTGGTGATGTTATCATTATAAATACAATTACATAAAAAAAGGAAGAGGAAGTAGATTAGTTATTGTGTATAAATTATAATAGTGTGTGTGTCTGGGCCTATGTACAAATACGTGCTTGCACTCGTAAGGCTGCTCTTGAGGAAAGCTAACAAGGGTTTTAGGGAATGGACCGTGTTGGGCGGAGCATACCTTCCAATTTCTCTGTTCTCTGTGATTTTAGGGAAACATCAAATGCCATATTTTACTCCAGTTCAGTTAAATTTATTTTGGTACTGCCATTTATATTAACTTAAAACAAAAACTATGCTTTTTAAAAACAGCATTTTGTTACAATTTTTTAGAACTAACCTCTATGTGAAAAATGTGTAATACTTAATTACACCCTGGGGTTCTCCTCCCATCTGTTTGGCCATGACTTTCCAAAACTAACAGGAGAATCACGCCACTGGAAATGTAATAACCCAGTCCTCAGAACCTAAAGTTGACAAGGTGGGTGACTTTCCTCTTTTGCTTCAATCAGACTGTGGCTACCTCTGCAGTGGCGATGGCAAATGAATGCATATTTGCACTATCTGCTTAATGAGCAAATCTGTGTTCACAGTTTCTAATGGCATATGGCATTGGTGTGTTAATTGTACTGTCCTGAGTCTATGTATTATCCACTGAGATATATTTTTAGTTGTTTCAATTGTGTTTAATTTACTTACTTCTTAGCAGTCAGTGTTTCTGAACATTTGTGGCAAAAAAAAAAAAAATCCCTTTTCATTCTGAGACTTCCTGAGTAAGTGGATGCACTTCACAGGTTTCCCAGTCTTTCTCCTGCCTCTCGGTCAGACCTACTCATGGAGGCATTATCCACACTGTGGTCTTGAAATAAATTAATCTCACTAAGGCTGCTTTCAAGAAGAAAATCTTTGGTATTTTTCTGATGTAGGAAGCACATTTGCAAGAATCACAGAAAAAATGAGAAACTAATGGTCTAGAATAGAATCACTGCTATGCTTTTAATAATGCAATGACATAAAAACCATCAAAGTAAAACCAACAATTCATTTCTTGCCCCTAGGAAATATTAGAATGAGATTAATGTCGATGAGTCACTACTGCTTACACAGCATCTCTTCAAGGGAAAGTGCCTGACTGACTCAGTGATGAAGGAATAAATAGATCCTAATGCAGTTGTGAAGTCACCGGAGAAAATTGTGCCTACCCTTGGCTCTGGCCTATATAAAGTACCTCTTTCTTCAGGATATCTTCCCCTGATTTTCTGAAGAATAGCTCTGCAGCTAAATGTATACCAGACAAACACATGTTATGAGTTTATTAATTACCTTTAAACATATGATACCACTTCACTTTTTGGAAAATTAGAATACCCTGTAGATTACAGAATGGTTTGTAATCAGGCCAGGATGAACTACGCGGACATGACCATGATTCAGAAAGTTGGGAGGATCTGATCTGCTAGACTAACCTCCTTTTTATTTGGAAGAGGAGACATAGCCAGAGAGCGGAAGGGACTAGCAGCTCACACAGGACACTAAGTAGTTGAACAAGGACTACACCCACCCATGTGGCCAATTCCTTTTTGCCTAACATTGTTCACCATTAAACTGCCTTGAGCTTGGGCACCTGCTTCTGATGTACGCTCTAACCTCCACCATTCCTTCTTTTATTTTATTTTATGTCATCTATTTATTTTATTTTTCTTTTTTAGAGACAGAGTCTCACTTTGTCACCCTCGGTAGAGTGCCGTAGCATCACAGCTCATAGCAGCCTCCAGCTCTTGGGCTTAGGTGATTCTCTTGCCTCAGCCTCCCCAGTAGCTGGAACTACAGGTGCCTGCCACAACGCCTTGGCTATTTTTTTAAAAATAGGGAACACGTCATGAATTTGTGTGTCATCCTCGCGCAGGGGCCATCCTAATCTTCTCTGTATCGTTCCAATTTTAGTATACGTGCTGCCAAAGCAAGCACCACCATTCCTTCTTTGGAATATGCTAGAAAAGAAAACTGATGAAGAATAGTCTTCTGGAAGCCTCATGATATTATGTTTCCTTGCTGGCCCCTTAGCAAGGGTATGGTTTGAGCATTCACACATGTCTTTGGATAGTCATCAAAATATTGCTTTTGCCAAAAGAATGTTTCTAAAATAAGGATGAAATGGTAATCACAGATTTGAACTCAAACAAGTCGTCAATTGTAATGAAACTTTGATTTATACTACTACCTACTGGGTGTGTTTTTGTTTTTCCTTCCCCCCACGCAATACTGGCAGCTGTTTATTCCTACCCTCTTCACCATGATAAACCACATGGAAAATATTTACACGCAATTTGTTTCTTTCTCTTCTTTCTTGAATGTACGTATCACCTCCTGGAAGCCATTGTCCATAATGTGTGTTACTCATATGACACACTTTGAATAGGTTGAGAGTTGCTGGGCTGTTGGGTTTTTTTCATACAGTAAGGAAATGCTTTGGGGCAGCAAAAGATGAATAAAGTAGGCATTTTGTTTATTCCCTTCCTTCTGTGAATATTTTGCTGCTGAGTTCTAGTCCATGCTAGCTTTCTATGTGCCCTTGTCCTGGCCAGTTATGAAATACCAGGTTTCAACTTAGTGATGTGAGTCAGTCAAGTCCATGTATTTGAGGTTTGTCCTATCAGAAAATCAGTATGAAGGCCTTGAAAGGGCACTGATTTCTGGGATTCACCGGGTACTGCCCTTGAAAATCGCTAGCACAGCTGGTTCAAAAGCAAGTAGAAACCATATCATTGGCCTTTTGCTTCACTTTCTCCCCCACATTACCTGCTGCCCCCACGGATGCTGTGTCTACATCATCGTGGTCAGAGGAATTGAGAAGAGAGATCATCAGAATAAATTAAGACCCCAAAACCAGTTTTATGTGAAGTAATTCGGGAAGATCTAACGTTTATATTGTGCAGATTGTCCAGAGAATTGTCTGGCCTCTTCACTCTGCTGCCCTCTAAGTGCACAGATTTTGCTGAAGTGGTTATAGGCTTTTATGTTTTATGTTTTCAGTTTGAAACCCTAGGAAATGGAGATTTGAAGAGGCGTTTATTCAGGATCACCATTTTGTGTGGTCTATAAGAAGGTAGTTATGTGTTTTTGCTGGTTCGTGTCCCACAATGTCCAAATGCATGTTACTTTAATGAAAATCCACAATGTCTTTGAGCATCTGGTGGCTGTAATGCTGGGGTTTAAAGTCACCATTCGTGGGTTTGGCATCAGCTAATATTTAGCCAGCTGGCTAAGAGACAGGAAAGGAATAAGATATTTCTTTCCTTATGTAATAATGAAAAGCAATAATTACAAGTATATAATACACAAAGGCCATAATTAGTCTCTTCCGGTGTTTAGGATGCGCTTGAGAATTGGTAGTTGTTTGGAGTGTGTTTGGACCCATTAGTATGTGTTGTAGTACCCTTCCAGCAAACAAATACCTGAGTTGCTACTATTTAACAATCGTATGAGCCCATACTACTGCATTTGGGGAGTGGCAAATGTGTTTGGAAATGCAAGCAGTTCTTTTTCAGCACTGTATCAGAGAGACTGTCTTGTACATTGGCCTGTTGCAAACAGGCTGATTTGTAAAAGATGTATGTTTTGGTGTTTAAAATGTTTATAAAATTGTATATAAATGCTTTCAATTTTCCAGGATTTTGTAGATACTATATTTTATGCCTATCAGGATGCTTTAATTTGGGGGGTCGAATATAACACTTAAGTCATCCACGCTGTTGGTCCACAAACTTTTGAGGTAACTACACACACAAAAAGGATTTTAGATTTGAAAATGATGTCTTTTAATCATTTCAAAATGTACCCTTTCTTTTTGTTCTAGTGTTTTCATTTAACTTTCTGTTTTCAAGGAAATGTTTGTATTGACATTTTTTAATGAATGTCATTTAAATGCTCAGCTAATATGTATTTTATTTTTATGCCATTTCGGAGTCAGAATGAAATATATCATTTCTTCATACATGTACACATTGACCTAAACTTGCACACACATCATGCACCAAGACGTTATGCAAAGGGGAAAGTGAATTGTGTCCCTCAAAGCAATGGATGTTTCTGCATATATTGCTGTTGGCAGTATTCAGTCTGGTGTTCTTTTTCTAAAAAATGAAAGAAAAGCAAAACAAAAGACAGCCAAAAACAAAAATTCAACAAGTGTACAGGTTTGTAACTGCCAAAATTTGATGGTTAAAACAAGTTTTCGAGTAAAAAGAAAAAAATGAAACGAGCAATTGTGTCAATTCTTTTAAAGTGTTTCTATCTGTCTTTAGTTAATTGCTCACTGGACACTTAGAGGGCAAGTTCTGCAGCCTGGTGGAAAGACAAGCCAAGCTCTTTCAACTCTCTAGCCTACTCCTGAAAGAGAGAGTCTCCTCTCTCCGGGGGTGTTTTTGTTGCTTTGTGTTTGTGCAGCCTTTTTTTTTTTTCTTACCTCCAGAAAGATTCCCATTTGTACTGGTGCACAGGTCTTGAAATCTCACTTAACGTCGTCCTCCTGGGCACTCACCCTGTGGGACTTTCCCAATGAAAAGGAAGAAAAGACCAGACCGGCTTGAACAAACCAGGATAACCGAGTGCCATCTCCGCAGAAATCTCTCCCAGGCATGTCCCCACCGCTAGCTGGCAGCAGCTCCAGTAGTCCTCTCCCTCCAAAGTCTGAGACAAAACTGGCACTTGAGTTTTCCTTCAAAAAGCTCTAGAATTTCTTTATATGGAGAAAAAGACACTTAAAATACATACAGAAGAAGCTGGGGGCGGAGAATAGGGCTCAAACGGATCCTTTAAAGACGAAAAGATGTCATCAAGGTTAGCCTGGGCCGGAAGAAGCCTTGGAGGGGAAGGCCGCCCTTGGCCTTGCCTCTGTGGTTTGAGCACCTGCGGGCAAGGAGCGGCCCTACCCCGCCCTAGGGCCGCAGCTAGAATGATGGCCCCGCCCCTGCCCGTAGCAAACTCCTCCCACCCGCCTTGGCCAGAGTCCCGCCCGGAGCTGCCCGCTATCTGGGGAATATTCGCCTCCTCTCCTCGGTGTTTTCTTCTCCTTACTTGAGATCCTCTCTGACTCCAGAAGCTCACCTACGGTGGTCACTTGTGTGTCCCCGGAGTGGTATGCCGGTAAGTGTTTAACTAGCAGCCGGAAGGAGTGGGGAGGGCCAATTTCTGGGGTAGACGTTCTCCTATCTTTGTGACGTCAGGTTACTAGGGTAATGGGAACTGGCCCCCCAAAGTCCTGAGAATCTTCACTGTCATTTGTTACAAGCCAGGATGAAGCAAGACCAGCACACCCCAGAGTCCCCGACGGCGCCCTGCGCTGCTTGAGGGGGAGTCATGTCGCCATTATGCTGATATTCCAGATTCCAGCACCTGTCTGGCCCTCATTAAAAGTTTTTGACTGAATAATTAATCAACAGTATCCCCAGCTGAATCCCCTTGTTCTAAATTCTTCCTCATCTTGGTAAATTTAGCAGTTTCAGTGAAAAGATTCAAATAAAGAGCCCAGTGTTGAAATGCTGAAGTTCTCCAGCCTTGCAATCCCTCGTCACACTGCTGTGTCCGTGAATTGAACATCAGAAAAAAAAATATCAGTGTCTGTGTCTTTCATACAGCCACTCTTAGCAGAAAGAAAATTAGTTTAAATCACCATCCATACCTCAAAAATGGTAGAGCAAACCAGAAATGTCAATTAAGAAATAGGATTAATGACTTGAATCCTCTATTAATCTGAAATTTAAAGAAAGAATTTAAAAAGAGCATTGATCTCTTAGGGAAAAAGGAAAAGAAAAAGACATTTTATGTCTAATCTTCATTCTCTGCTGGTTCATTAGGATAGAAGGACTAGCTCCCAGCTTAGAAATACTTGTCTAAAGAAAGGTCACTTTATTTTTTTCTGTCCCTGGGCTGGGGTCCTCTAAACCATTCCAAGGTTTGATGGTTCACTGGGAAGATTCACAGGACTCAGCAGACGGTCAAACTTATGGTGAAGATTTATTACATCAAAGGATACAAAGCAAAATCAGGAAAAATTAAGGGCAACTGGCCAAGTCCAGGGTAAACCAGACTCTAAGGGTCCTCTCCCAACAGAGTCACACAGGGTGTGCTTAATTCCCACCACCACCACCACCAAGTCATGACAGTATATAGGAGATGTTGTCTGCCAGGGAGGCTCACTGGAGACAGCACACAGGGGGAGCTGTGGCAGCCTCTGGGATGTACCAGAATTCCAGACTCCCAGAAGGAAATCAGTGTTCAGCATGAACAATATCGTTGGCATAGCTTACATTTAGGGAGCCACTTTTACCATTCTAGAAATAGTGAGAACTTCTACTGAAACCAAGTTGCCAGACACCAGCCAAGGGCCAATCTTGTAAGCATGCCTTCCGAAGGACAGCATTGAGGCTTGCTATATTACCTCCTTTGTGTACAGTCCCTCTGAAATTTCTACCAAAGTGACACTCCCCTGTCTTCCCAAGCTGCATTTCTCACAGTGCCCACTATGAGCAGGTTGAAATCCTCTGTGTTACCCACATGAGGCCTTTACCGCTCCTCCTCCATGGAAGAAAAGATGCTTCCTAAAGCAGCCTGGGTGAAGGCAAGCTGCTCTGGAGAATATGCAGCTTGAAGCAGGTGGCCTGTTTCTCAAAATTCTTTCATTTTTGTCTCTATCCTTTTGCTTTTTAAATTCAAATTAATTTTCAGTCAATTATGCTCACTTTATACTGTTTTTAATAAAGAAAATTTGGAACAACTTGAATATCTAACAATAACTTGGAACTGGCAGGAAAATTAAAACAGCCTAACAAGCCAAGCAGGAACAATTGGCTTAAAAATGGAAAATTATTAGGGTGGGTGTAGTAACATGTGCCTGTAGTCCCAACTACCCGCAGTGCTAAGGTGGAAGCATCCCTGGAGTTCAAATCTAGCCTGGGCAACAAGTGAGA